TAGTAATTTTCCATTGATTGAGAGAGCAAATGATAGAAAAATATTACTTTTTGTTCAAGTCAATGATTAATTTTACTGACCATTTTCTTACATCAAAAGAATAATGTAGCAGTGTATCCTTTGTGTCGTGTGTCTAGAAATATACCAAAAATATACTTACGATCTATATTAATCCATGGAGCATTAACAAATAAAAAAAAGTTTGAATTACATTTGGTTACATTACTGTGGTAGTAGGCAATTCATTTTTATAGGCGTCATTTAAATTTAATTGTTATTGTGGTAAAAATGTATTTGACAATAGGAAACTTACACTTTTGTCCTATACTCGTCCAGTGTGAAATAAGTGAAAGAAAATGACAAAGAAAGATAAGAGTTAGCATAGTCTATGATAACAATTACAAATGTAAAATCACGAAGGTGTAGTCAAAAATTGTTCAGAGAAAATATTTACTTACCAACTATAATCATCAGTGGAATCAGTGTGCACAAATATTAAAGAAAAGTTCAAAAAAGAAAAGAAAATATATATTAGTATACAATGCAAGTTTACATATTTATTGGGCCTTGCATTCCGAACAATATTTGCAATGGTGTAACAGCAACTAAAGCCAGTAGTTTAGTTTGGTTACTAGAATGTGTGAAGAGTTTTACCATGTACTCACAAATGCCTCCGGTCTGCTGAAGATTCAGTCATCATGGCCAAGCAGTTGTGATCAGAAATGTTACAAACCACATCTTTTTATAAGGTGTAACCAGGTGCCAGGCAGTTCAGCTATGTATTTATTGGCTATTCAGTTTTTGCATAAATAATTGGGTTGGTGCGTCATTTGCATTTGAATGCTATACTTGCCTATTCACAGCTGTCTATAAAATGTGTCCATGGAACACAAAAATGATCAAGACATCTGGCTCAAGTCAGTTACAGGGGATCACAGATTCTTTGTGGCAAACCAAATAATTGCACTTTATGCAAAACACAGAACGGAAATGTTATGATGGTACATTATCATTTCTTAAAATTACAACAAAATAGAATATTTCACTTCAAAAATATAATTTATAGAGAGAAATAAAAATTATATTCTGAAATAATCAGCTGTGGTACATAAAGCGGTCATTTATTCGTTCAAACTAACAAACAAATGCTGGGATAGTGGCCTTTTGGATGTGGGTTTGTGAGTTGGCACTTAATACTATTATTGACGTATGCAAGAGTGTGTATATAGACTATGTGAGGACGCACAGATTCACATAAAGTACAGGAGCGCACACACGCTTTTACATCGGAGCACAGCACTTTATATCCAAGTGTTCTGTCTGTTTTGAGGTTACAAATGAAAGGTTATGTTTGTATCATCATTTCTAGATGCGTTATTCTACTGTCAAAACCTGTGGCTCCGACGTTTCAAAGCACAGAAAAAAAGAACGACGAAACAGTTGTTAATGCGGTCGGCAAACTCTATGTAATTGAAAATATGTAATTGAAATGTGACCCGTGTTTGACCTCACTCTCTCTCTCTGGCAAACATGCATGCACCGAAACGTAGCACCGTCGACGAAACATGCCACTGCCGACAGTAATTAATGATAGTTTATTCGTAAGAACTTTCAGGAAATCCGGAAAATGTGACAATGAAAAGATCCATGTGCGGACACCTTGCAAATGAGTACGCAGTTTTTGCAAGGTAATTCGCAGTTCTGGTGTGTCAATCTCATGGGTGTCTACGGAAATATTTTAGATGGAGGTGTGAATCCTTTCAGGATGATGTACGGGACAAAGAGACTATTTACAGTATTTTGTTTGAAGCGTTAAGTAGGTAATGTTAAACAAACACGCGAATTTAAAGGCATACAAATGGAAATAATTCTTTTCTTGTACTTTTTGTTTTGGTTGATTTAAGTAAAGCTATGTCACGCTTGTTCAGCGCCATTTTTTACATGTCCACGTAAATTTAATTTAGCGAATTTTACAGCGAAAATAGCGAAATAAAAACTAGTGAATAATTAACTAAACAATAAATCTAGTCATCTAATAATATTGAGTTAAATTAAGGAAGGTGCACACTGTTGTCGTGGTTCGGCCGGAATATCAAGATCGATACCAGGGTACACTGGATGCTTCAAATATGAAATGAAGCAGAGCATCATTTGTATTAACTGCCCACAAACTATAAAATGACGAATGGCTAAGCTACATCGACCATTCAACATAAAATTCTACAATTTTTAACACAAATAATTTATAGTTTTCTGTCACTATTAAAATGAAAAGTTTGTTTATGTTTGAGCACGCCATGACCAGGGTGCATGAATGACCAAGGCTAAACAGAAAAATAAAAAATGTTTCATTTTGCTCCGTTTTTAGATTTACTGGCCGTTTTATGTGACTTTTTCGCCTTCTATATAATCATGAATATATCACCTTGCCTATACATCTATACAATTTTGTGTTCTTCGGTGGAAAGTCAGTTGATGAGAATTGGGGGGGGGGGGGTCCATGCACCTTTGTAGTGAATGACTTGTTTGTTTGTTAACGGAATTATAATGCTGGAGTGGACTAAACTAAAGAAATAGAATGACACATGTCTTATGATTGATTGGCTAATAAATGCGACGATATATTTATTATTCATTTTTCTGGTTAGTTGCATAGAAATTGCAAATGACTGTCGTTCCCCAACATTGTGGCGCGTTGCTAAAATTGCATACTCACCATGTCATTTTGCTTGTCTTACAAACAATGACACTGAACCACAGTGACTGAGTAGAGATTGAGTGGAATAGAGGTCATGATGAATGAACTGCTTTGAACAGTTGGCCCACATGATCTATATAGTTATGTAATATTAGAAGGAAGAATACGTCTCCAAATTGGAATGCACATTCAAAATGTGAGTCCAATTGTACAACTTCTGTTTTTCACAAAATCCAAGATGACTGCCAAACTGATCAACATGTTTTACTTTTCTACTAAGAAAATGTTGCAATACATGCACCATGCAAAATATCAAGTTTATCGGCTAAATCACCCACGAAAAACAAATGCCCTATATATTGTGACATTTTGCTTAGAAAAAATCAAACTGAAAATTATATCAAAATTAAAGATTTGAAGACATTTTCACGAAACGAACAAAGCTGAGAAAGGTTCACCCAAATATTCCAATTATCAAAGCAGTACTTGCTGAAAATGTAAAGTGACATATGTGCGTGTACAATTTATATTTTGTTCTCGTTCAGCTCGGTGGGGGATACAAGTCATGTAAGAGCATGTATTTTACCTGGTTGAACACACTTATCTGGGAATAAAATGATTAAGATCCCAGGAATGCGACACAGCGTTTGAGAATATTTGCTGCTTCCCTGTCTGAGACACTTTCTATACAGGTGTTTTGTTTGTTTTGTTTTTAGTACAGTAACCAAATGTTTTTGTGTGCTAATTTGACGGTCACCACCTTTTAGAAGACAAAACACACAAACTCTGTATTTTGACACAGATTTCAATTACACAAAACTAATCTAGGTAGTTTCTGTTCAAAATAAATAACTTGGTTTGTGCAAGCGATAACTAATCATTATACTACTTACTATACTCTGTTATTTCTGTTCTGTTATTTAATGTCTGGAATGAAAAAAATTATAGTAATAGTGTTAGTAAAAAAAGATATGCAATATGTATATACCACATATATGGTAGTTCTTTGTACACAACATTTCATCCAAAACATGAGAGTCAACATTTTGGGAACAGGCAATTTAGCAACATATAAGATGGCGAGTTTAATACGTATATTGGGACTCCATACTACACCGTCCGGCAAGGTGCTGAATGATTTATTTAAAGTGTAATCGTATCATTTTCTACATGATATGGCGTTACTCAGGTAGTAGATAATAACCCCCCCCCCCAAGATTGTAAGCAAGATTGTGTTGAATGCCATAGAAAGGTACGACTCAGTTGGATGTAGTGGAGCCACAGACTTTGATAACAGACATCGATAGATATATGATAGTTTCTTACCATACGTCTGGTTTCCGTCTGTTGGCCAAAAACGTGTCCTGGTCCATGTCTGGCTGGAATGATTTTTGCCTTTTCCTTTGTATTCAAACTGGGTAACAGTTGTTGATCTTCTTTATGAGCTTTTGTTCTCGGTCCAGTGTCCCACGCATGCCGTGCTTCTTTGTCCTGACATGCCAATTAAAGATTAATAATTAAATCATGTTGATGAATATACAAAATAGTAACTTCAATGGGCTTTAAATAATTTCTAAATAAATTTATGTTTCAAATATGAAACATCAAATCATACATACATACATATACAAAATAATAACTTCAATGGGCTTTTAATAATTTCTAAATAAATTTATGTTTCAAATATGAAACATCAAATCATACATACATACATACATATACAAAATAGTAACTTCAATGGGCTTTAAATAATTTCTAAATAAATTTATGTTTCAAGTATGAAACATCAAATCATACACTATAGGAACACATCAATCTGCAATATATCATTTTTAATGCACTAATTTGTTTCTTGCATAAATACGGCTTCAAATATTAGCAATGCCACTTAAGGATGCATGTAATTAAAGTCCGATATCAAACGAGAAAATAGTTTTGCACTAATAAATCATGTACTAGATAAATCATGGAGTATTTTATTTATTTATTTAACACTTTATTTAAAGAGGGTAGGCCAATATACAATAAAGTATAAGTTTTGTTTAAAGGTTTCTATACATTCGACTGTCGCAAAACCAAACCTATTTATATAGTAGGAGAGTAAATACCATGTCAGAAATTCCAGATTATGGTCATCATAGCTTTTCCCTAGAGATTTAAAATCAAAATCGTTAAGCC